CGAAATCCATGAAGGCATATGGGCGTAAAGTTGGTGAGTGTACTTGAGTGGCGGGGTAGGTGGTGTTGAACTCGGTGCAAAGATCAGAGAGGTATGTGAATGCAAGCTTTCGTGGGTATGAGCGTTCGCAAATACAGAGGAAAACGATGTCGTTGGCGATCATGTAGCTGAAATATTGTTAGAAGGTATGCATGATAAATCCACTTTGAACTCTAGTTGCTAATGTATCGCAGGCAATAGCAAGATGGCAACTCTGTCTTTCCAGAATATAGCATCAAAGGCTTCGTGGTGAGAACAGTTGTTCGTATCCCACATACGCATTTCATTCAGAAGGAAATTGGGATATGCGCTTGCTAATTCTCACTTTGCCATTCCACTTTGTGAGACAATATGGGCTTCCTGTAAGACGTCTCATGGCTCTAGGCCTTGCTGCATCTCACAGTAAGGGCTACAGAACCAACCAGAGACAAGATTCACCCAAATGGACCAAAGGATATTACGTTTTTGTACGTACTGCATAGTGTATGGACCGCTATCGAGAGTTGCTTGATCGGCGGAATTTCGATTCATTTTTCGGAGAACCATCTTGACTTGTGACTTGATCTCTGCCAGGGACGTCTCAGTCTGGAAAGGACCCAAGTCAGCTTCGTAACCCCCAACTTAGGAACAGCATGCGCACCTGCTCGTCGTCAACTGAGGCGCATAACATAAGACCTATATTGGAAAATTAGCCACATTCTAAAAGGTATTATCAAAAGCCGCCATACCATCCAGCCTCGCAATTTGTGTAGATTTGATCATCTTGTCGGGTTGTAGCTGGAGCTCCTTGAGGTACGGTTATCGAACTTATTCGGTGTTATTTTATGAGTGTGATATTAATACATGTGTCGCAGACCTTTTGCAAATCTTGATCCGATAAAAGAAAGACCAGAAAGGAAACCTCAGAAAAATTACAGATCAAGAAAGTTATATTCAAAGAGGTGAAAGTGTTCAAAAGAAACTGGTTACTTCATTGGATTCAAAAGCTGTTCCAATTTCCATCATCCATGTCCAGAACCCTGAGTCGGATTAACTCTCTCCGAACACCGACATGACACCTTCCTCCTTATAGCACGAGGCTACCAATGACGGCACTAAGTGAGGAGGAGGCTACAACAGATATTTATTATATTCTCAAAAGAATATTTGGGTGAGTTCTCTTTCGTTCTCGTTCGTTCTCTTCAACTTTCAATCTTACAACAACCTTTTTCAGATCGGAAATCTTTCATTCAAAACAGTCAATCGTTTCAGAAAAGAAAACCCTCTGTTCTCTAACTTTATTATCTCTTTTCTAAATAAAGAGAGGGTTATACTTCATTATCTGCTTGACCAGTTCTGCCACTTGGCGTTTCTTTCCACTTCTCTCGTCCTTAACCTTTACTTTCAACCCATTTTATCACCAATATTCTGATGGCTTTACCTAGTGCGCCTCCTGTTCCGGAGACGGCAGCTCCACCGAGCTCGCCTGTTCTGGGCCCCGCGGATTCTGGAATTAATCCCCAGACCGCGGTGGCAGCGACATCGGTTCCGGTGTCAGAAGCTTCGTCCTTGGCTTACAACGAGGCGATTGGGGTGCTCGACCCAATCGCCCCGTATCAAACAGCAGCAAGATCAGTAAGTACACCCGTACAATCACGTGTTCAAGATCTAGATCTCGAGCTAATATTCATTTTTAGGAGAGTAACCTGGCTCCTACTAGGGAGATGAACCAATTGCCTGTAGAAAGACCGCTCAGTGCTCACTTCATGATCTCATCCTGCTCGGATAGAGCCTACGTCCCAACGCCATTCAACACCCCTCGCACCGCATCCCGAAGAGACTCTCACCCTCATCTTGCACACGACCACTCCCCTAGAGGAGAGGAAAAACCAGCTATCAGAAGAGTAGCACCTCGTGTCTTTAGTGGTGATCTAGGCGAAAAGGACAAGGTCTACCTTCGTGGAGGAGGCCCAAAGAAGAGACGTGGTGGTGCTGCTGGTAATGCTCGCAAGAAGTCAAAGCCTGACAAGTACGCGGATGTTGACCACTTGTTGTCGGACTTCAAATCACCCATTTTCCAAGAAGATGCAAATGTTAAGGTAACGAATGATTCTACTTTATTTTCGCTATATTTAACTAACTTTTACTAGGCAGTTCTTACTCATCCACTGACAAAGCATATGATGGCCGAGCAAGGTGAACCATACCCCTTCGATGAGATGCCTGGAGATGAGATTGCAACCACTGCCGCAGATTTCAAATCAGATGGTAGTTACGGAAGACTTGACCCAGACTGGATAGACCAAGCTGTTAAAGCATCTCAAATCCGCGCATCTGGTGGATATGATGCCTATCTAGACGGTCAATTCGCAGAAAATTGGGCTGAAGATGAAGAGCAAATTTCAGATGAAGAAATGAAAGACCTCAATAATAATGGTGACGATGATGGTAACGGCGAAAAAAAGCCTGAGAAAGGAGATGAAAAGAAGTAGCCGATGGTTATCACCTGCTCTCGCGATGTGGTATTCTTTTGATCCCCCACCTATCATAAAAGCTCGCAGGCATTCCACAACACCGACGACCATAAATCATCGAATGTATCACTGGTTCCGTCATAATATTTCCTTACACCTGATCCTAAGCCTCTTCGAAGCAACAAGCGCCTCCATATCACAACCTCTTACAGCAACATCCGAAACCTCAGCTCCTCTACTACATTCGATTTTTTTTTTTACAATCAAGCTTTACGCAAATTTGAGGCACCCTAATTCCAGTTTACTTTGTTTCTTCTCAGATCAACGAATTTCATTGCGCACCCGGCGTTCGGTATGTCAGATTAGATACCCACTTGCACTTCTTGATTTTGTCGAACAGCTCCTCAAAAAGATACCTTGGAGATTGATGTAAGGTTGGTTCTGGGCTAAATTTGGCTGTATTTTCAAAAGTTTCATTCTAACTTTACGCATACGGTGTTTGGAGTCTACGCGAGAATTGTTTGGTAGTTGCCATGATGAGCTTCAGTTATGGATCAACGCGATGCCATTTTCGAGTATTTGATAGGAAGTCAGACTTTCACAATCAAGGGGAGGAATAGATAAGCCTGGCATACTTGTCTACACTTGAGAATCTTAATTAGTTGGTTCGACTTTCCCATTAACATGTGTTGTATCTGGGAAGAAAATAAAAAGTTTTCAAATTAGGCTTCTTCTAGTTCTACTGTGAAATCACAAAATGATGCATCTTCGTTTTCGTTTCTTTTCACTCTCTTTCTTGCATGATGAACATTGAGTAATCAAGGTCCGATTTTGTTGCTATTATTCTAGTATTTGAAAATGTGATGGTGTTGTGTTGTTGAAGAATGTTGTTTTTATGAAAATACATCGTGTTCGATTTTTCCTGCCCACATTTTAGAAGATTAATTTCAAAATTGCAAAGGTCAAACACAAATTCGTACTCATTTCTTCCCCGAAACAATACCCTTTTCACCGAATCCAAGACCGGAGTGGCTTTCCCATCGAATAGACCCATACCCAATAACCAGCCAAGTTCCCAATCTACTCGTTTCCTTGATAAACCATTATCTACCTGTCGTCATACCAAAGAACCCCCAAAGAGAAATAACCCCCGCACTAATCGTTCTAAAAGCCACACTCCCCGGAACCCCATGCTTCCAACAAACATACCCATCCACTACGGCCAAGTATCCCAAAGAAGCAATCACAACATCCATCGCCTCAAAATGATCCCCCAAATACAAACCCCATAGTGCTAATCCAACAGCAGTCACACGGGCCGAGCCGGATATCATCACGGGGTGGGCGGATTTGGAAACAGCTATTTTCTCGTTGAAGCCGAATGTGCGGATGGCGTTTTCGGCGTTCCAGAGGGGCATGGTGCCGCCGATGGTTATGGCTGTGGCGAGTAGGAGAGGTGGAATGTGGCGGGGGAGGAAGTGCGAAAACATTTTGGTTTGGGATGTTGGGTGGGTTTGTTGACTTTGCGGGATGAGATGCAGGATGGCTAACTTAGGGAAGCAGCTGCTGAATTTGTTGGAGTTCTTTTAACCTTATGGAGAGAATGGGATTTTTGATGATCTTGTATGTTTGATATTTCGCTCTGAACTTCATGCCAGAGAAAGACTTATGTAAAGCGATGTCAGATTGTTGTATTCTCAGATGGAAGAAAGTTGCGTAAGCGCCTTTGTGCCTTACTTGATAGATATGCGCAGCTCATGTTTCATGGGGAGTCGCTACCCCGCATTCATTTAAACGTCTAATGGTTGGAATTTGACATGACTACCGATGTTATATACAGATGCTTGAAAATTCGATAACATAGTGAACAGGAGCCCAAATCTAAATCCATGAGATAATGAGTTTATGGTTCAGATAAATCTTCGCGACGGGCATCATCTCTCGTCTTTAGGCTCATTGTCAAAAGTGGGCCTTGACTCGCTTGGCTAGACAGTATAGATTTTGCAGAATGCCTGTTTTGTTTCAAGCAGATCCCCCCGCGAAGACAGCTCAAGTCTAGAGTACGAAGATGGCACATCTACGGATGAAGATACTGCAAGAATAGGCGAAACTCCAATTCCCTCAAGTTATCGGTATGGTGAAACTAGCAGCCTGTAAAATCTTCTCCGTCCAAAATATGCGAAGTTTCGTTATTAGAGGCTTTATTTTTCTTCTTCCAAAGCAGCACTTCTTATCTTAATAATGCTCGTTTGAGCCACCTCCAATAGACTAAAGATCGGTTGAGCGAGATACCTCGGAACGGGTATGTAACTTTCCCCGCGTTCTGTACAGGGGTTCGGCAGATCAGCGCTTATTGACTACCTGCCTCCTTTTTCCCTACTTCAAAAGTGTAGAAAATTCGGAATCACCGTGGAATCTTGAGCATTTGTATTCTTTCTAATTCTTCCCAAACAATTCATTACCTGAAATCTCACAGAGTCCGGCCAGTCCACAAGCCTAGCTATCATCATGTCTAAGAATAACTATAAAGACATTATTGTCACCATCCAAAACAAGATAGGAATTATCAAAGTAAGATATGGACATCCAGTATGTATTATGAGAATTCGCTGATGCATAATTAGTTCAATCGTCCACAAGCTCTCAATTCTTTGGGAGGAAGTCTAGTACCAGAGACTATTGCTGCTCTGCGCGAACTAAATGAACATCCCGATACTATATTTACAGTTTTAACAGGAGAGGGGAGGTTTTTCTGTGCTGGGGCAGATGTCAGGCGTGAGTTTCTGGAGCAAATCTAATATTTGCCATAAGCTGACACGTGAAATGTAGAAGATGGTGCATTATCTGGCAAGAAGGAATATGCCAATGCTGCGGAAAAGAAAATTGAGTACCTCTCAAAATTCACCTTATGTAAGCGTCTTTTTGCTCCTAAATCTAAGTAGAGAGAACTAATGATCTAGCTCTCGAACTCATGCGCTCAATAATCGACCACACTAAAGTTTTCATTCTCGCTCTAAATGGGCCGGCAGTAGGTGCTGGAGCAGCATGGTTTCCTGGAGTAGCTGATATTGTCCTTGCGTCTACATCAACCTACCTCCAAATCCCATTCTCGGCACTTGGTCTAGTTCCAGAATGTGGCTCGGCTATTTCGTTGACTCAGTCCATGGGTGTTCATCGTGCTAATGAATTCTTGATGTTTGGAGGAAAACTTACTGCAGATGATATATTATCCTTTGGTATTGCGAATCGGATTTTTGAGAAAGAAGGATTTGAGGAGAATGTGGTTGAGTATCTGGGAGAGATTTTGAAGGTTAATGATGGAAAGAGTATGATGGAGGCGAAGAGGTTGCAGAACTTACCATTGAGAGATTCAAGGATATTGGCGGTGTATAATTCGATTGATGCGTTAGCTGAAAGATTCGTTGATGGAGCGCCGTTTGAAAGATTTGAAGCTAAAAGGAAGGAAATGGAGGGTATGTTTTCGAGTAAACCTTTGAGAGTTATATAGCTAATCGGAAATACAGCAAAATCCAGAAGTCGAACATCAAAAATCTAGAGTAGGGAGTAGGAATGATGTAAGATATCATTACTAGAGAGGGGCATAAGAGATAGAGACGGTCTAAATTAGTCCAGATTACAGTAAAGTAGTGATTACTCTTAGCACCTACTGCATATTGATTCTACTTGACGAATTTATTCTGCTTTCCTTTACCGTTTGGAAGTTAGGAAATGATGATACAGCGTACCTGCCATTTTGTAGACTTTTATTCGGAATGAGCAATCAAGTCACAGCAATTGCGAAGACATTTATTTGAGAACAGACAAATGAAAAAGGTAACCGGTGGTCATTTTTAAGTTTCGGTACCTGCACACTATACCATGGTAGAACATCCATGTTCACCATTAGAAGGTGCAGAGATATGAATAGCTGTAAATTGGGGCATTTCTCCACCCTATCCACCCCACTTCTTGGGATTATCTCAAAACCAACGGAGATTCTGTCTTCCAACTCTACTCTACTTCAATTCATTGAACATTTCTCGAGCGACACTTGTATCAACGCATCATGGCTAACGAGTGTGCTGTATGCCATAAGCAGGGTGAAAAAGTCCTCCGTTGTAGTCGATGTCGTTCCCGGGAGTACTGTGATATGTTCTGAATTGTGAGAAAATTCTTTTAATGGCTTGCATTAAATCTCATCATGTAGAAAATTCATTTCGTGTGGAAAATATATACTATATGAAAGGTTCATTGTCAATTGGAAACGTTCATGGCTTTTGGAGAAAAGCCAAATGTGTCCCAAAGTCTTCATCTGCTGAATATTTGTTTTCACAGGTACAAATTGCCAAACACAGGACTGGCCAACTTACAAGGCAACATGCAGACGCCAGAACTACATTTTGAAGGTTGATCTCTTCCCTCGTCACTTCACAAACCCTCGCATCAGCCGAACTCTCTCGTGACCTGCCACAGCGTCTTTTGCTGATCTGCATGATGCCCTCCAAGTTGCGTTTGATTGGAAGAGCTGCCATCTTTACGACTTTGAATTTCTCGATCATAACGAAACCATGGGCTCCAAAAATAGGCTTGTTATGAAGCCGATACTGTGCAAAATTACCGACCTTGACACGATGGATGGTGGCGACGACTCAGCCAAGGATAGCAAACGCACTAAGCTTTATCAGATTCTGGATGGGGCACGCACCAGTGGTAAAACTATCCATTATATGTATGCTTTTGGAGACGGATGGGAACATATTATCACCTGTAGCGAGCGAGCAGATCCAACCACCAACTTCGTCGTATTAGGTGGTGAAGGGCATGGATGTGCAGAAGATGTGGGAGGGTGTAGTGGATGGGTTGAGCTAATCGCAGCTTATGAGTCTGATGAACCGACGGAGCACCAGAGACACTTGATGTCTTGGTTCTAAAATAAGGCTCATAATAAGGATCCGAGAGGTCTGCGGGGAGCAGCAAAGTACGCGTGGGACAAAGACAGAATCAATGCAATCTTGGAGGAACTTGATACTTCCAAGCTCCCTGGACATTCTACTTCAATCCTTCTGGTATCCTTGGCTAGTGAGTCATGGTTTGATCAAATGTACGCTTCTGTGCTTACCAAATTTCGCTCTAAAGCCACAATCAAAGACGTCACAGATGATGCATCAGCAATGAAATGTATGGAAGAATCACATAATTTTGGCACCATCATCGTTACGGATGCGGCAATAATGGAACCATAGTTTATTAATATCAATGGAAAGTTGGTTGAATATGCAAAAGCCGGTGGAATCTTGATATTTGGATTTTTATTGTCAAGCTTTACCGAGCCACCCAAGTTTGAGGAGTTGATGGAAACCTATGGCCTAGATTGGAAGTTTGGTGATTGTACTCAAGAGATCTACAACATCAATGGAAGGGCCGATCTTAACAAGAAGTACAATTTAATGCCCTACAGCATGAAAGCTGTCAGTTTGAAGAACGTTAGGCCTGAAGATAGAGTCTACTCTGGCCCTAAACTCGCTAAAGATCAGAGTCCCGCAGTTTTCGCAAAGTATGGGAGTAACAGGGGTCAAATTGGTTGGGTCGGCGACGTCAATGGAGAGGAAAAAACGACAACACTGCTTCTAGCAATGTGTGGAATTTGAGGTTTCTCCGTGTTCCGCTACTCCTATTACAATAAAACATTCATTCGAATCGAATTACATACAGCTCTGTTCGTTGCTCTTATCGCTAACTTCGAAATCTCATGAATCCCAAAATGAACGGATATCTTCCCGAAAAAATCACCCAAATCCCTTCTCGAATGTTTTATGGTACTCATTTTGATTGCTTAAGGTGACTAAACACTAAAATCGTCTTTTGGGCTATTAAATTCAGAGAGTCTTGTTTTAACTTTCAACAATTACTTTATATGCTAGATTGGGTTAGGGTAATCAAATCATTCTTCGGGTCCCAACCCCCCAAATCTGCCCCGATCACATCTTTGTTGGGAGCTGTAACAAGATTCTGGACATTAAAATTAGATAACTCACTTACGCATATTCGAATTTTACACTCCTATTAGGCTTCCCAAACAATCAACGTATCCTTTCACCAATACCCACCTAGCTAGCTATCTCTCGACCTGATTTTAAGGATGCCCGGTAATAGACACGAATATTACAAGCTACAGTCTATTGCCAAAAATCTCCTCAGAAAACTCAACTCTACTGATGCTGTTGAGGATTCATCCTCCTTCCATTATCCATAGAAACAATTGGCGGTGCTTCGGCAGAAGGAGAAGGTGTCAGATCGGATGTTTTTACATAAACGCTCGGCTGCAATTTTTTGGGAATAGGATCTTCGGGGCGTGTAGGCTGCGGCTGCGGCTGCGTACCTGTAGAGCTTATCAGATGCTCTGATACTGAGTGATAGTTTGCATGAAGACACTCGCGGATAACACGATTAGCATTCCATTTAACTGTTCACCATTGTAAATTACGGGTCTAGATGATCAAATTTTTGGGAGCGTACTCTAGATAAAGTTTTATGTCTACTTTCAGAGCAAGACAGACGTACGCGCATGGAGTTGATGAGATGGTCTGATAGTGCAACTTTTGGAACATTTCTCATGCAAACGGTTAGGCCTTAGCTTTCTAGAACTGGAGTATCCGAGGTGCTGCATAAGCAGAATCCACTACTCTCCGTTCTATTGCTATGCTTTAACTGGAAACTACTGACTTGCTTACACCTAGCAACACAGACCTACCTCATCACTATATTGCCGAATATATCGACCTTTTTGAGTGAAATGAATGCAGCACTTGAGTCAATCAACAAATTTCCAAGTACACAGAACCTCAACATTCGAAACAGCCGAATATTTCACCTATAACTAGCATATGCATCATTAGGGTGATGGGAAGCATGCGGCCTTCATTATGAGGGCAGTCAGACTATTGTGTATCTCACTGAATAGGAATGATCTGTGGAGAAAAGAGCTGTAAGTATACAGATCTCTAAAGAGTATTGTTCGGGATTAGCTCGCTTGGCTTCCGGATCCATATAAATCATGCCTTCAACACGAACGGTAGTTTGGTGGGATGAGAAGTTCAATAATGGATGTGGAAGCAAGAGAACAGACGATAACATGCTTCAGATTTCCAAGGCCTGCATGGCTATGATCGATCATCAAAAAACTACGCCTTGCCAGAGCTGGATCGAGAAGAAATTCTTAGACATGAGTTGGCCGTTAGACCCTAGTCATGATTAATGTCCAGGGAGATGTATGCTTGTCTGAGAATTTTTGTTATAGAGAAGAGGAGTACAGACGCAAAGGCTGGGGTCTATAGATGGTGACAGTGGAGGAAACAGATTCATGATGAAAAACATAGACGAGGTACGGTACGTAAGTTGAGGAAAAGAGATAAGATATGCAAAGACAGAGGTAAAAAGAAAGGACCAGGATACGGTGGACAACATTTCAGCCTTGTGAACTTCGAAATTACCAATATAGAGGTACGCATAGAGCACGCACTCCGTCTGAGGTCAGACGTGCAGAGTACTGGATGCCCAAGGTCAGGGACGAAGGAACCTTAGTCCCGTCGAAGCTTGTCAACCAAGAAACTGCTGAAATTCATAAAAATTGTATGGTTTGTTTTTGTATTTGTTATTATACATAGGGGTATTAATCGCAAGGTATGCCAAGGTATCGCGGATTTCGTACCCTTCCCCATAACTCCATGTAGACATGAAAATCTTTGATCCCATGGCATTTAAAAATGCCGTTCCGGATCTTGTCTTCTGTGGTCGCTGCTCATTATGCAATCCTGCAAGACCCGTGTCCTGCATCATAAAATCTCAGAATGAAGTATTCGTAACGTTTCGGTAGTCTTCAACAGGCCATGAACGAGAGAAGTGGAATTAAATTCGCATGTCTCGTAATTATCTATAGCCGCGACTTCTATCATTGCCTCGCCCGGCGTTCCAGTTGTTGCCATTACGGTTGTTGCTGTTGCCAGCACGACCTCCTACAAGATTGTCGCTGTAAAGTCCTTGACTTCTAGAGTTGTTACGACTACCACCATCCCGGTCATCGGTATCCATGCGATCGTCAAATCCGTAGGAGCCATCGATAATATCATCCCGAGAACTTCGCGAGCTATCATATCTTGAATCATAGCTATCTGAAACTGAACTGCGTTCAACACGGCTAGCTCTTGGACCTGTTGGGACGCTTAATCGAGGTGCAGAACGTTGGCTGGCAGGTTGAAGCGTTGGCGCAGGGGCTCCCGACTTGTTGTAAACGTTCAATAAATTACCATCCGCCTATCATGGGCTTGTTAGTAATGCTTCGAGGGTGTTCTATCTTGACTGACAAAAATACCTCTTGGTTGTTGAATGTATCAATGACGTTGTCAGCTCCATCCTTAGTATCAAAAATGATCTCTGCGATAATTCTGGGGTAATCAGAGATAAGGCGGCAGCTGAGTGGAGGCCCACCAACTGGTGTCATCGCGGTCTCGATATCTTGTGCAGAAGTGCCTCGCGCGAAGTTTTCTGCCATTACAATATATGGTCCTGCGAGTCCCTTGATAGAGATGCTTTTAGTCGCCTTTGACTTGCCAACGATATTATACTGAGCGTTCAAGTTCGGTGTTGATGCAGAGCCGTTGAAAGCTTTCGCAAGTCGATCATTGCGCGCACGCGTAATGATATTTTTAGGGCCACGAGGAGGGTTTTGAGATATTCTAGAACTGCCTGGATTGTTAAGAGAGTGTAGATCATGAGTCCATTCCGCATCAAGATTTCCGACAGTAGGTGTGGAATTCTGCCTTGGTGCAGGTTTGGGTGTAGCCGGACCACGCTACTCGATTGTTAGATTAGTAGATTTGTAGACACCTGCCAGTAGCCTTCATACCTTTCCAACACCCATTCTGCTTGCAAGTGAGGGACCAGTGGCTGGCTTGCGATTGTTGTTTGTCGCTCCTGGCGCACTCGCTCGACGATTCTTGCCCAGGAATTTATTTGCTAGCAGCTCATCCTTGCGACGCTCACGTCCTAACATTATGTCAGTCACTGACGACATAGCAAACATGCTGCATATTCCGATCAAGGTTACCTACCTTTGTTAATGAATCCATTGAAATCGGGTAAGTCAGTCTTGGGTGCCATGGTGTTACAGCTACCGCTACCTGTTACTAGTGTTGTGAAAGTTGATGAATTCGCAGATTTCCTGAAGTCCTGACTCAACAATACTCAAAAAGATGGATGAATATTTTCAAGATCGAATGATAATATTTGAGGTTAAAGACAGGAATCAAGGTGAACTAGGGATAGGATGGTCGAGGATAAATAGAATCCCGATGTTCAGATCGCGAAAGTTTAAGGTCGCAATTGGGGAGTACGCGAGTGACTGTGAGGCGGAAAATGCGGCCGCGTGATCAACGGTACGGTTTGACTTGAAATAGAACGAACATTCTATTGTCTTTGTTCACTCCAAGACCTGATGAACAGATATATTTGGAATAGAACCGTGTATAAATTATATTGAAATCGAACCGAGTTTTCAAGGTTCGGGTCGATTTGTGAATTGATGTATCTCGCGGGCGGGACTTTGAGAATAGAATTCTGGCAACCTCGTTACCCCCTTTCCTATTCTAAGAGCAACGAGGCTTATATTGATTGATCATGACATTACAACTTAGGTAGGTACGAATGACATCCAGATAAGTCTATCCCTTTACTCTTGCCATCTCTCAATGGTGTGATATGTGATATTGTCCATTCAAGTTTTCATTTCCTTCTGATCCTCTTCGATCAACAACCCAATCTTTACATGTTGATTTCTTTTGGATTTTTGGTTAACGAACTACAAACGAGTAAGAACAATTTCTTTCACTTCTCCATATATTTTCTAATCTAGTCATTTCGCTATTCTTCCTGCACTTCTCTTGATCTATGTCTTCGCATATTTGGATTTGTACCCTCTAACTGATGAATTGTAGGTAAATTCTGAAGCGAGTTAAACAAACATGGCTTCCATATCATTTCAAACCCCTGAGAAGATGAACGATGAGAATGCACCTCTACCTCGAACTCCACATACACCTAGCTCACACAAGATCCAAGATTTGGGACGAGCATCTTCCCAAAAGAAAGCTCGACAAATTTTTGATAGTTTGAGAGGTTTGAAGTCACGCGGGAGACTCAATATCGATGTAGAAGATGAGGGAAGTCATTCTGCTGGCCCGTCTAGCCCTATTCGCCGCAAAAATTCAACATGGGACTTCTTGGGAACCATTCGTACAAAAAGATCTGGTGAATTCGGTACCCCTGAGAATGAACGTCCTGTTACCACAACTCCTCTCAAAGCAGAGCCGCAAATTAGTAAGTAACGATGGATTTCAATTTCTCCGCGTTGAGCTAATATTGTGTTTGTAGACGAGGCTTCGAAACTGCTTCCGAAAAGACGAAAGAGTCTTGTCAACATGCTCGGATCAATCTCCGACAAGGTATCCCCTAGACGTAGTACAACCCTTCGTGAAAACACACTCGAAGAAGAGGAACTGCCAGGTCATTGTGAAGAGGACGTATTTGCCAAGAGGTTGGCAAAAGAGTTGATAGATTTGAAAGCGAATAATCCGAGTCCTTTACACACATCAGCGTCAGATGATCAATCAAGGTTTCCTCAGGAACGATTAGGAGGAACTTATAATCTGCAAGAGAATATCAATACCATAATCGAGAGTGAGTTTATCAATACGTGGCCATGATATTGCATGGAAGGAACACGTCTAACCAATACTCAAGATCTTCAAAAACTCCGGCAGGCTGAAGATCTACCTAATGGTCGAGCAGGATACGACGCAGACAGTTGTAAGTTGTCTTACTTCTAGTATTATAGAAGCATGTGTTTTGATACTTTGACTGTAGGGACGAGTCATGCGCAAACACTACAAAGTGTAAGATCCAACGAGCAGCTTACAAGCCACTCTCCAACGACGGAAGTAGATGAAGACGAATCAAAAACGCCAGACTCATACCTTTGCTCGATTATTAATTCTTTTGACAACTACAACAAAGAATCATTTGCCGCCGAAGGAAAAGGGTTGACTGTCTCTCCGTCACCCTCCCCCGACAAGTTACAACCAACTAAACCAATTGACTTTCTGAAGGATTCGAGTCCAGAGGTGATTCCTGAGGAATCAGGCCCAAGGTAGTTGTTTCTTACAAGTTCCAAACCATAGCTAACGCCTATTATAGCAATCAATTCATGGATACGCTTTCATCGAAATGTTGCCAAACTAACACACTGCCAACACCAGAGCGAATGTGCCGCGAGAGGACACGGCCAATGATTACAATTCGGGAAGTAACTTCTGATTCTAACTCTACCTCGACATTTGAGGATCAGATAGCTCCGTCACCACCAACATGGCAAGCCGCAGCGAAATCTAGAAACGCAATGCTGGAAAGCAGAGCCAGACTTCCTTGTCAGTTTGATAGAGATCATGCTCAGAAATTCGATGCTCCTCATATGAGCTCGGTTGAAGAACGGAAGAGTCACTGTCAAAGCTTACAGCCAATCCCTCCTAAGGCCGACGAATCAGATCACCAGAGAATTGCCCGCAATATCAAGCAGACCGTAAATAAAATGACAAAGAATCTCCATCTTTCATCATTCTCTGAAGAAGCAATAGAAGATTGGGACGAGGGGTTCTCAAAGGAGGAGACATCTGACGAGAACCTAGACAACATCTTGGAGACCGTCGAAGATGTTCATACAAAAACAATTGAGGAAATCTCGGGCGTTACAATGGTACGCAAAAACATAAGTTCGTTCACGAACAGGCAGTTTTTGGACGGCGCAATGTATGTCAGATACCCTCAAACAGAGGTCAAATGGTGCCACATGCAATACTTCCCAACAGGAAGCCTTGCCATTTCAGACATTCGCAAACGAAACAAAGGGGAATATTCGGATACGATATCATATTGCCCAGAAGAAAATTGTATTTACGTTTATCTATGGGGGCAGGTTCCCAAGTCGGAGTCTGAGCTTAGTGTTCGCGTTAAATACCCGGAAACAAAGACTCGATGGGCTCGGACCAAGATCTATGACAACGGCGATCTTGCCATGGCTGATATGTACCAAGAGAATCGAGGTGAATTCTCAGACATTAGATATGATGCATCCGAACGCTGTTTTCATGTTTATGCGTGGGGTGATGCTGTTGAAGCACCGAAACGTGGAGTCCGTGTTGACTATCCAGAAATGAAAGTTGGATTGACACGAACACAGACTTACGGAAAGAATGATTTAGCATTGGTTGATCTGTGTGAAAAGAGCCGTGGAAGTGTGTCAGAAGTCAGATATAATGCCTTAGAACGCAGGTTCCAATATTTCACATTGGATGAAGCCATGGACGAGCTCGACAGTTGTCACTTTGGAGGTTTTCAGAAATCAGAAATGGAGCGTAAAATTTGCGTTGAACTTTCAGAATTGACTCAAACCCAAGGTTACGCACCTAAACCGGATATCTCAAGATTTGAAGTCGACAAGAAGTCCACGATTGCTTACAGTACTCCTGAACAAAGCTCGCGCATAGAAGCACAAACAGTAGGGATTGAACCAACTTACAGAACTCGCGAGCCTGCATGGAGACCAACACTATCGCCTCTCGGTGACCGGGATGAGAGTGACCAAGATCTACCTGATTTCTCCGATTTGGAGAATGAGTTCCAACTTGTTACCATCAAATCTCCTGGAAGTTCTTCACTCAGTATAAAATCGCAAGAGGGAGCAGAGGAGGAAACTGGCGAGGATATTCCAGGTAGTATTGATATGAGCCTCTGCGTGGAAGCTGGGACTCCTCGAAAGCCAGATCATGAATTTGTCACTGAATTATTTATGACAACCGATTCTGATAGACCGGCACCTCTCCTTAGAGGCTCTAAGCAGATTCTTCAGTATCTGGATAGCTTTGATGGTGTAAATTGCAGGAGCAATTTGGTGAATGTGAACAATAATCTTCAGTCAAATCGCGAGACGGCAACAAAGATATGGGCTGAATCCGAAGAGGTTAAAGAAATATATCATTCTGTTCAACCAACTCCTGAAAGCGTTCAAGCTATGATAGACGAACTTTTCGCTCAAGCCACTCACCGCGCATGGCTTGACGGCTCTTCGGATGATGGAAGTGCATCTCTCAAAATTGAAGTTGTCGAGGAAGAAACTAGAAAGGGTTCAAGTACATCCTTTAAAAAAGGGCACAAGTTCTCTATGTTTCTTGATAACCAATATTACGGAATTTCAGGACCCAACGAAGTTTCAAAGAATCAAGAAGAGCCAAAGTGTGCGAAAGAGCACACCATCTTTGATTTTCGCAAGGACACTATACATCGCAGGGAGCGTTCAAATGCTATTTCTGGAGAAGGTCCTTCGGTGGCTGTGCGTCCGAAAAAATTAGATGAGAGTATATACATTCTTCCCATCGACAACATTGATTTATACGAGGAAAACGCTGGTTGTGGTGCTCCAAAATCACCCTACCCTACAGAAGTCGATGAGAATATAGCGTCCTTTACTAATGACGCGGACTTGACAGTCTTGGTTCCAGAACCCATTGATACTGCGACTATAACTAACCACAAAACGAATAATAATCTTTCCAGTCTTGATCTGACTAAACTAGACTTCGATAATAAAGAAGAGACAGCCAATGTCAGGCCAGGTCTCTGGGCCGGCACTTGTACAAAAGAGCAGAATAAGTGTGATGTACCCCCATGCACTGCATCTTCTATATTCAGTCAACTAGGTCTTGAAGCCGCGCTTGCCCCAACAGCCCCCAAGATCGAGGAAGTCGCAACATCTGATAACGAAAAAGATGAGCCAACAGAAATAACGAAAGGCAAAGAAATCATTATTCAAAGTTCCGCTCTTCGTGTAGAAACAGTGTCGCAAGCATTTATAGATCACGAGGTTCTTCCACAACTCAACACAAAAATTGAATCAAAGCGAGTGCCTACTTTAGTAAACATCTTTCATTCACGAGGAATGGCGTCCTCATCTTCGGCTCGGCCATTCTTAGACAAATATTCCTCTCCTCTCCAGCCACTCTCAACTCCCAAACGAGCAGAGACATATACTCCAATTCAAATTCCGAGAATCGTTACGCCGTCGGGGAAGATTTACAGTCCTGCACAACTGGAAGAGGATAAGAAAGTTTCAAATCCAATTCAGAGGGTTCAGACGCCGGGAAGTGGGCTGGAGAAGCAGTTTAAAGGTAGAAATTATTTTAGTGTAAACATGAGAGTGGATGATGCGGACGATGAGGATGATGCAAACTTGAGTGGTGAGGAAACGGAGATTAGTGAGGGATTTGGCGAGAAATTGGAGAGAATGAGGGTGAGTAAGTATTGTTTAGTGAAGGAAGAGGGGCATGGTATGGGCGAGAATGAAGTAGAGGTATAGATGGGTCGCGGTTTGATAAAGGAGCGAGGATGAGTCTATTGATTATGGCGGGTACTGTTCTTGATCGAAGTATCGCTTGAGGATCAATGATGGTAGAGAAGGATATTGATATTGACGAAATGATGGAGGAGAGGAACGTCATCGCTAATGCTAGAACACACGGTAATATTCTTATGTTGAAGGTATTCAATTTCGGAAAGGATCACACCAGACATTAAGTAATTAGATAATCCCCAGAATTTGTCATTGTGAGACTTAATCCATAATAAAAGACAAATTCAGCTAAACATCGTCTTTGCTGCATTTCGCTAGTGAGATAGACGAATTCAATTGGATATCAATCATTATGAATGAGTTGTGGATGTATTGTACAGGTTGGGTATTTTCATAAGATGTATGGAGTAAGCTGGTAGTGTACAGTATATAACATATGGAGTTTATTTTAGCGACCATTTCGTGCACCAGGCAATTCTGTACACCCCCGAAAAACTACAATTAAAAACTGGCAGATGTCTCAGTAGTTGGCTTCCTGTTGGCAAACGACGCCGGAGCTCCAACGTTTGACTTCCTACTCGCAAACGGTTGCACACGCGCCACATAACCCTGAGTAGCAGCGAATGGAGCCAAGCCCCCCTTGACTGCCTTTTTAAATTGCATTTTTGAAAATTCATGAGTGCGGCGATCGATTGGCTTTTGGAATTTATGAGTGCGGTCATCGATAGACTTTGGTAGTTCTTCATCATCTTTGGGCTCGAGCTTGTACTTGAAGCGGCCTGGGTATTTTTTAGAACCGTCCTGCTGTTGTTTAGCACGTTCTTCGTAGGCCATGAGTTTATTGCGACGTGCATAGATCTCCGTGTAAGTGTCGCGGGACACAAGACCTTTGTCGATGAGCGTATCGTAAGCGCCTATGATGCGACGGATAAGAAAGAGAACTTGGTCTTTGAATTCTTGGTTTTGGAAGTTATCATCGGTGGCGGTGGGATTTCCATAGGTAGCGAGAGCGCGAAGGTTGAGGTAAGAGGGACCTACGCGTTCGAGGGCGCGGGAGATTTGTTTGCCTTGTTCGTATTTGGTGGGCCGGTTGCCAGAGGCTTTGCGGATGAGAGAGGAAGAGACGGCGACGTCCATGTAGGTTACTAGGGCTTTGATGTCTGGGACTGGGAGGTGCATCTGCATTATATCGAGGATCTTTCCAGCTGTGGTGAAGACATTGGGATTAATTTTATCCCGAGCGCAAGTACTCATGGCGAGTTGAAAGGTTTCGGGTTTCAAGGCTTCTTTGGGCATTGTTTGTAAGAGTTCCAGGACCTCTCGACTCGATCGAGAAACCCGGAGAATTCTCAGATATCTATGGTAATTATCCGCATCAGGTACAATGCCCAATTCTTTTGTGAAGAGCTGCCAATACTTTGTTGCAGCGTCCTTTTTAGATAATTTTAGCAATGCTTTCATTATCATAGATAATGTGTTTGGTCCTGGAGTAGCGTATACATGCGACTTAGGCAATGAAGCCACTGCAGTTCCGTAGCTAGAAAATATGTTTTCAAGATCTTTAGGAGGATCTATATCACCGCCTTTTATCTCGGCTACTCCCTTATTATCATCAGGTCTGGACTGCCCTTGTAGTCCCGGTTCGATCTTCTTTCGAGATTTTGTACCTCGCTGAGGTACTTGGCGTCGAATGTTCATTGTCTGCTGAACAAGGGACAAAACATCATCATTGTCTTCTTCTGAACCAAGTAGTAACGTCCGGCCCATAGCACAGACAAGCTCTTCATCGACCATTATATCTCCTTTGCGCCAACGAGTATAAATATCCCCCCACATTCGATGCGCACTAGCTATCATTTTCTCTTTCATTTTCAAAAAGTCCTCTTCAGGCATGTCTCGCTGCCTCATAACCTTCATGCGAAATGCGTTCAGAATGGTCGTAAAAGTGAGGTTATCTGGTGCGCGATTCCCCTCAGCAGGCATTTGAGAAGCAATTCCTAACAAAGCCTCCTCTTCGCCTGCCCTCGAACAAAGTCTAAGTACTGCATTCATGTGAATAGTATTCGGTCGTAAACGAGAACCAGCAGAGAGCATCGAAGTATAAATCGCCAATCCTTTCTCGAAGGCTGGTTTGGTATGAGGACTCTCGCTGCAGCCTTTAAAAATAATAGTAAAAGTTTGCGCATCTGGAAATTGCGCTCGTTTTTTCATCTGTAATTATATGGTCAACCAAAACCTCATTGTATATAACAGGAATAACAAACCTCATTGAATGTTTTAAGTGCTGGGTTCAATAGTCCCTTGCTGAATTGCCATTCAATCAAATGGTTCCAACTAACAACACACTCAACGTTCTTGCTTGCGGATCGAACATAAAGCAATGCCTTCTCAAAATCATCCTCCGACAGAAGTTTCCGTACATAGTCGGCAAGCTGCAATGGATCTTGCAGTTGTTTAAGCTTCCAAATAAATTTATTATCGATACGTGGATCAACAGGTGCAGGCTGTTTGTCTGCGGGCCTCTGTCCCCTCGAATCTAGCCATTCCTGTCTTTTGGCCGTCCTGCTCTTCGTTGGCTCGGAAAACTCTTCATCTTGTGAGATAGGCTGATAGGTGTAACTATCAGAATCCGTCGCATTCGTGGCAAATGATCTATAAAGTTGTCTTTGGGGGATTATGAGCTGTGAATTTGTACTATGGATTGTTGAATCTCCGATGAGTGCTTGTAGGCATCTCCTGGTACATGCTCGACATGTAAACATCTTTCGAGTCTAGATTTAAAATAGAAGGTCAATTAACTTCCCCTCTATTCTTTCATCATTATGATACATTTTTTGTGGTCGGTTCAATAATAATCCGCACCGCTTAGTCATCAATTTCTAATTAACTTTCGTGTCGATGATTTACAAGGGTTCGCGATTTCACAACGCGAGAAGTGGTAGTAGGAGCGCGTCAGAACTCCCCTTCCCCAATTTCGCGTATCATTTACACAGATTTATTATACACACAAACCTGCCCACATACCTGAGGAGGTTCCAATCCAATTTTTGTATCTTTCTTTCAGGACGTATTTGTACATTTCTTCTCTTTTAATGTTATAAACAATCAAAAACTACACTTCGCAACACCTAGCCAAATCATCCCTCTAATTCACAATGTCGAAAGCCGCTTCTGCGCGAGCAAAGTTCGCAGAACTCCGTGCTCTTCGAGAGTCTGGAAAGAAACGTCTCGATACTTACGAAGTACATCAGGGAGAAGATTTATATGAAGAAGTTGACGAAGAAGGGTACAAGAAGGTCGTGAGAAATCGTTTAGATCAAGATGATTTCGTCATCGACGACAATGGCGAAGGTTACGCAGATGATGGCCGTGAGGATTGGGATAGAGATAACAGACAAGGCTACGGAACTGAAAGTGAAGAGGAGCTTCCCACGAGGAGCAAGAATGGAAAAGCTGGTAGGTTTTGGAGGCCCGTATGATGGATGATTGCACTTCTGACAGTATCATAGCAAAGAGGAAACGTGAGGAAGAAAAGGCCAAAAAGGAAAACATGGAAAAAGGCATTAGCAACTATTTTACCAAAGGACCTGCAGCTGCTCAACAAAAGCCCAAGGTAATTGCAGTTACTTTGGTCTGTTTACGCATTGCTAATTCTGTCAGCCTGTCAAAACGAAGGAAGATGATGACTTCTTAGAGGGACTTTTAGGACAGGTAGATACCAATGTTCCTCGACCAAAAGCCCAGCCTTCAAGAGCCAGTAGGACGCAGGAAAAGAGGAGGACGAGAGCTCTATCTCCATCGCTAAACGAATCTCGGCATACGTCAAAAAGAACAAAGGTAGCGGATAGTCGATCCGCCAATACTACGGCTGCGCCATCTAGCCCTCCTGTCTACATGGGCGAAGATGATGCTTTTATGGCAGGAATTGACGACGATGATATGCCCATGGACGAACCGCAGCCCTCATCCCCCGTGGCGAAAGCCGTTGAGAGGAGACTCCATATCAGTGTTAAGGAAGAGGAAGAGGATGAAGACATGATGGAGGTCGCCCAAGCAGATGGTATCACAGCTAGCAGCGTCAATATTTCCGGGACCAGGCCTCCGCCCAAGCTGAAAAAGGAGCTATACCCAACACCCACGACTTCATCTCCACCTCGTGGTCCAATTGACGAAGTGGATGCATCGTCTTGGAACGATGTTACGCAACGATTGAATGTTATGAACAGTAGCCAACCTACAGAAACAACGTCCTTTGGAAAACTCGACTATAATGACGCAATTGAAGAAGATGGAAGCCTTCACATGTTCTGGACTGATTATACTGAGATGCATGGCAATCTGTGTCTATTTGGTAAGGTTAAGAATAAGAAGACAGGCACTTTTGTTAGTTGTTTTGTAAAAGTCGATAACGTTTTGAGGAAGCTCTTCTTTCTTCCACGACAATACCGTCAACGCAACGGTCGGGACACAACTGATGAGGTGGAGATGAAGTATGTCTACGAAGAGGTTGATAGCATGATGACCAAAATGAAAGTTGGGATGCACAAAATCAAGCCTTGCACTAGGAAATATGCCTTTGAACTACCTGAAATACCAAAGGAAGGAGAATATCTGAAGTTACTATATCCCTACTCAAGTAAGTGTAAAATCTACTTACTGCCTAGCTACTCGGCTAACCACTCTAGATAATGCATTAAATGCAGACCAGCAAACTGGCTCAACCTTTTCTCATGTGTTTGGAGCAAATACTCCACTCTTTGAACAATTCGTTCTCTGGAAGAACATTATGGGTCCATGTTGGTTGAAAATTGAAGATGCAGACTTTGGGGCTCTCAAAAACGCTTCTCACTGCAAATTAGAAGTTCAGGTTACAAAACCAAACCTCATTACTCCCATCAGCGAGTCCGATAATCTCGAAGCGCCGCCATTGACTCTGATGAGCATTGCGATGCGCACTATTTTCAATGTCAAAGAAAACAAACAAGAAGTTCTCGCAATCAGTGCACGCATTTATCAAAATATTTCGCTAAGCGATACCACTCCACCTGAAAAATTGCCTTGTCAAACTTTTACTGTCGTGCGACCAAATGGATCACATTTTCCCATCGGATTCGAGGGAGTTGTTAAACAGCGTTCGATAGGGCTTGTCAAGCTAGTTAAGCAGGAGAATGAGATTTTGAGCTACTTCCTTGCTCGTTTGGATTCAGTTGATCCAGATGTTCTCGTTGGCCATCAATTAGAAGGCGTTGATTTTAGCATTCTACTAAGCCGATTTCAAGCCAGAAAGACTCCACAATGGTCACGAATCGGTCGAACGAGACGTACCCAATGGCCAAGCTCCATGGGGAAGATGGGCGGAAATTTCTTTGCAGAACGTACGCTAATGTCAGGTCGTTTAATGTGTGACTTGGCCAATGACATGGGAAAATCAACTATGACGAAATGTACATCTTGGACCCTTACAGAGATGTGCAGCCTTTATCTGTCAGGTACCAATCGTCGAGAAATCGACAACGAGGCTGCATTGAAGACATGGGCTACTAATAAGGATGGCCTAATGGACTATATTAGTCATTGCGAAGCAGACACGTACTTCATTGCAGCTCTTGCCTTGAAAGTTCAAATGCTTCCTTTAACCAAAGTTCTCACTAATTTGGCTGGAAACTCTTGGGCAAGAACACTTACTGGTACTCGAGCTGAACGCAATGAATACATTCTGTTACATGAATTCCATCGCAATAAGTATATTTGTCCAGACAAAGCTGTTTTCAAGGGTAAACAAGTCGAGGAAGAGAATGCCGACGAAGAAAGTGGAGATGTGAAGAAGAAGGACAAGTACAAGGGAGGTCTAGTATTTGAGCCTGAGAAAGGTCTGTACGATAAATTCGTGCTTGTCATGGATTTCAACTCCCTGTACCCCAGTATTATCCAGGAATATAATATTTGCTTTACTACTGTTGACAGATTGAATTTGGTATGTTCATACTCTTGCCATTGAAAGTCATATTTAACTAATATGTATAGTCCAATGACGAAGACCGGGTTCCAGAGGTGCCAAAAGATCAGGATCAAGGTATCTTGCCTAAACTTATTGCCACACTTGTCAGTCGACGTCGACAAGTCAAGAGTCTTATGAAAGACAAGCATGCAACCTCGGAGCAATTGGCAACTTGGGATATTAAACAATTGGCATTGAAGCTTACTGCTAACTCTATGTACGGTTGTTTGGGTTACACCAAATCTAGATTTTATGCTCGACCACTTGCAGTTCTCACGACATACAAGGGTCGTGAGATTCTTCGAAGTACCAAAGACTTGGCCGAGAGCAAATCTTTACAAGTTATCTATGGTGATACAGATTCCGTCATGATCAATGCCAACGTGGATAATATCCAAGATGCTCTTACAGTTGGAAACGACTTCAAAAAGTCTGTCAACGATATGTACAGGCTATTAGAAATCGATATCGACAATGTGTTTAGACGTATTTTACTTCAAGCTAAGAAGAAATATGCTGCCATTAACCTTGTACAAGTTGATGGAAAGTTCATTGACAAAATGGAAGTCAAGGGTTTGGATATGAAGCGTCGTGAATACTGCAACTTGTCTAAGGAAGTTTCATCTCAGCTCTTGAATGAAATTCTGTCTGGTGATGATTCCGAGGCTGTTATCACCCGAATTCACGATTACTTGCGAGAAATCTCAACAAAAATGAGGGAAGGAAATGTGCCTGTTCAAAAGTATACAATCTATACGAAACTTGGAAAAGCGCCCAAAGATTATCCCAATGCCGATAATATGCCTCAAGTTCAAGTTGCTCTACGGGAATTAGCCAAGGGGAAACAGGTCCGAAAAGATGATGTTATCGCCTACATCGTAACGGGAGAAGGAAAAACATCTGAGAATGCCGCTAAACGCTCGTTCACACCTCAAGATGTAATGAAGCGCGATTCAGGTCTCAAGCCAGACGTTGAATGGTATCTTTACAAACAAATTTTCCCACCCGTTGAGAGATTGTGCGCAAACATCTCAGGTACCGATACAGTACGTCTGGCTGATTGTCTCGGACTTGATGCACGCAAATATAGCATCAATAACAACAACTCGGCAGGCAGTAATGAAGCAGAAATCCATCCCCTCGAAAGTCAAATTGACGATTCTGTTCGGTTCAAGGATTCAACTCGTCTCTCTCTCCGCTGTCGATCATGTAAAGCTATGTTCGGATTCGAAGGCATACTCAATAGTACGGAAAATTGTTCCCCATCCGGTATCATCTGTCGCTGTGGCACCACTCTCTCGTCTCTTTCCATCATGACACAACTCGAACATCAAATTCGTCAAGAAACATGTAAATATTATGAAGGCTGGCTCGTGTGCGATGATCAAGCATGTGGTAATCGTACCAGACAAATGAGTGTTTATGGTCATAGATGCTTGGGACCAAAGGGGTTGGCTCAAGGATGTTTGGGCAAGATGCGATATGAATACACTGAGAAAATGATGTACAATCAATTGCTCTACTTTTCTAGTTTATTTGATGTGGATAAGGCGAAGAGTAATGCCAGGGGTACGGAGAAAGGTAAGGCTTCCTCTACTTTCTTTTTTTGAAAGAGACTCGTGAGACAGAAACTAACATGAAGATAGAACTCGTTTCAGCATTAGCGGAACATAACCGAGTCAGATTTGGTACGCTAAAAGGCGTAGTGGAGAGATATCTGGATAAGTGTGGTAGGCAGTGGGTTGCGATGGATAGTTTATTTGGCAAGTTAGGTTTTTCGGCTATGTGAGTTGGATAGATGGATGGAGGGTATAGGATAAGGTTTTGTTGGTATATGTAATGAATTGATGGGTGCATGAATGCATGGGAGTTGGGTATAATCATGTGTTTTGACACTGGAGGGGCGTTTGTAGTATAGAGATTTCATGATTGAATATCAGCACCTTGTTCACTTCTGAAGCGATTTCTCCCTCAATTTCGTTGCCAAGAATCCGTCAGTTTGGAGAGTGAAGGATAGAGAAGCACCGCCAAATACGGCTTTCAAATCCAACTCTAATTTCTAGGGTTTGACATTGAAAGAAGAAGTGGGGATGATAAATAATAATAGCATCCACCCCTTTTCCAATACAGACGATGGTAATGTGATTATTCGAATGCTTCTTGACGCCCAAGATCTAATTTTTTCCTACCGTTAAAAAGGCCGAAAGCATTGCATGAAATCAAGTCAAGTTCCCACAATACAAAGATCTCATAACTAACCTTCGAAAATGTAGGAGTAGATTACAGACAATGGAATGAGCAAAATTACCGTTCGAGTGGTGATTAATATTGAGGAATGTGTTTGAACTGGCAGTGTAGTTTGTTGTTTTCAGTGCTAGATCTAGAGGGGTTGTAATGGTAGTCCTATTTCTATTTCTATTTCTATTTCTATTTTTTGTCCGATTTTACTGAGTATATTCTCTTCTTCTACAGGTTTCTAGGCGTGGATGAATAGATACATTCTTCATTCTTCATTATCTAGACTCACTCAGTTTGAGTATTTCAAAATTAATTATAGGTAACCCTAAAGATCTTATGAATCAGAATCACAGCATAAGTCGATTGTTTCAAGAGAGGTCCATCTGTTGAATTTTCACGCTAGATAATCTTAATACCGTCAGTAAATCCAAGCATGGCATTCAGACGTCGTGTTTGAGGTTTCGTGCTCATAGATGCGTAGATGTATGATTCGATTGGCTGATGGGTGTATGACTGGGTCTGATAGGAAGATTCGCGTGATGGATCGTATTCATGTAGAATAAGGGAAGTAAAAAGGTTACATTATTCATTTGGTGGCTTCGAATCAGGCTTGTCGAGGCGGGATTGGGAGTGCACTTTTCGGGGGAAATAGTTAGACGTGGTATAGAACCCGGTCATTGCTGCACTGCTATGTGAATGCTAATAGAAAATATTCCATCCGTGATAAAGATGGCGAATATAATGCAGAAGCAGATTTACGTCCATCTCCAGCTTGGGGATTTTGCAAGTGTACGTGGAAATATAAATTTATAAACTAAACTAAGCCATGATATCGAAAGGATGATATAAAGCGTTCGATATCACAATCATCATTCCAATTCCCGTTCCTAGGAAATAAAATATATCCCTCCAACCGCCCTCCTCCAAGAATCCCGTAGATGTATGTGTATATAAAACAGGCCCCGTAAGCTCCTAGATAATCCATAACATTGAAACGGGAAGCTTTGCAACCGCTTTCAGGGGCAAAGTTCAACTGTCAGACTTTAATCTAACTAGGTACATACAAATTTCGAGTTCCATCGCCTTCTGCTTCTCTGGAGTTTGTACATCTTGCGAAGGAGTTTAAGATTTCTCCTGGAAGGTTTTCGTTAATTAGTCTACAAGTACGATACCCAAAAAATGACTGACGGTGAAGATCTAACAACAAGATCTACCAACGACAATAGCAATAATAATCTATACAACAACAAAAATAATAGCCCCCTCATCAATCTCTGCAAATCAAGTAAAAACCAGAAACTCCAAAATATAGGCTGCACTAACAGCCTCAAGAATACTCTTACTTTACTTAAAGACAGATTCATCGACACACCACACTTTTTCTTCTCCCATGAGTTTCCTTCTCAAAGATGCAAGACCTATTTAGAGAGGAGATAAATGGGAGAAGTAGAGTTGTCATACACTTATACTTTGGGGTTTCCGGCTCAGTTCTCGAAGGTTTGGAGAGAGAGAGAGAGAGGGGGGGGGGAGGGGGAGGGGGGGGATGGGATAGAAATGGTAGTGATAGGATTTGAATCATGATGGTAGATTGATGATGATGATGTATATTTGAGGGTATATTCTAGAGATTGGAAATCAAGAGGTCTAGAGTGAGCACTTGCAGCACTTTCAGACGTTTGGAAATGAATCAATCCGTTTCTCTTTCGTAGACTCTGTTTAGAGATTTGGAGAGAAAAGGATAGATGAGTGGTTTACGTGTATTTATAATGAAGCCATCTGAGGCAAGAGGGCGGAAGTGTATAAAAACATGCGCATGATATGGCCATGTAGAACCAGAGGGATTAGTTTCTTATTTCAAAATACCATTGCTCCACTGCTCCAATCCCGATCATGCTATATTAAACTATTAACTCCATACACCACCCCTCGATAAAAATTGACCAATTCCTAACACCATACCATCTAAGACTCCATGCCATGCATCAAAATCTCACGACCACGACCAGCGTCCAATGTTCACAATTCATCCCCCCAAAATACAATCTCCCCTTTCCTTTCCCTTCCCTTCCAACTATCTCCCCGACCTCGGTCCACTAGGTAAACCCGGTCTCCTTCCCGCTCCTGGTCCACCACTAGGTAATCCCATTCCCCTCCTCGGCGCAGGCGGTTCATACCCACCACCCCCAAACTCCGCCTCATTAGAGGCCCACGGACTGGTCGCCGCCATAAACGGTTTTTCTCCCGAATCATAGCTCGCATCAGCACCCGCACCCGCATTAGTATTCGTCGCGCTCCCCTTCGATCGCCCCATCTTCAATCGATCTCGTGCAGATAAACTTCCCGTTGCACCTGCACCCTGTTGACTCGCGAACGGACTCTGCGTGCGCGCCGGACCGGCTGCTCCTCTTGGGGCGCGCAAACCCCCTGGAGGTGGCGATGGCGCATTTGTTCTTCCTGTCGCGCCGCCAAAGAGACTATTTAATCCTTGGGAGCCGCCAAGTGTAGAAGGTGCTTGGCCGTATGTTGAACCGACGGGTTGGGTATACATAGGTTGGACGACGGGAGTAGGTGCTGGACCGCGTGGATCGGGGGGAAGCCACGCTGGCAGATTTTGTTTCTTTTCTTGGAGATAGTAGGTGCGCATTACGCGGCAGAGATAAGTGTCATCTTCTGTATCGCCGTCGGCTTCGCCTTGGAATATGTTTTGTCGGATCGAGGTTACTTTGGAGGTGATGGAGTTAAGATAGGAGGAGTACATTGTGTTGATTGAAGGACCGTTGTTGGACCAGCGATGGCTAAGGTTGTGTGTCGCAACTGAAGTTGGTTGGTATGCGACGGTTCACCAACAATAAATCCAGAGAATTAGTTGTTATTGTTTCGAAATGGCTGGTCTTGAATTTATTGTGGTTTGTAGAGAGGTGTCGCGAATTATTAGTTATGAAGTTATGAATTTATGGAGAGAAAGTATTAAGTTGAAACTTTCAAGGTTTCGCTGCAAGAAGAGATCCGACCCCACCACGCCAAAGGATGAGACCAAGGGGGGCCGATGAAAGAGCCACTGATGGTACTGGTATTATAATTGATATGTAATTAATCACAATAAATTAATTAGTCAATAATTCATCTTAAGGTATTCTTCCAGAAATTGTACTTGAATATCGCTTGCTTTGATATACATAGCCAAGTAAAAAAGCTGTCTACAGTACTATAAATTAACAGCTATTTTTGAGGGACCAAGAACACCAACACCTATAAAGAACGCCCAACCCCAGGTATAATGAAAATCCATGCATTCCCAGATTAGAAAGCCAATTCTCGCTGGGGTCCTTCGAGCTCTTGTTCGTATTCGACTTCCATCTTCGAGATTCTTTTCTTTGGCTTGGTTTTGGAAACCGGTGCTCTCTTTCTCTTTGCGCCGGTAGCATTCTTCTTGGCCTTATCATCCTCGCTGCTGTCACTCTCGCTATCTTCACTATCTTCTTCACCAGTAACTTCCTCCTCATCACTTCCAAGCCAATCCTCGATATCTTCCAAATCCTCTTCATCTTCTCCCAAATCACTAACGTACTCCACGTCGCCAACGCCCTCTTCATCTTCATATTCTCCTTCTTCCTCAAACTCATCCTCTTCGATACCTTCATCCATATCCTCATCTCTAGTTCCCTCTCCTTGTCTCTCCAAACCTTTCAAAACCTTCTTCCAAATAGATTCGCTGACGTTCAATGGTTGATCACCATAGGCACCACTCCTTAATCTTTCAATCAATTCTCTTTCAATCGCTCTCTCGACCTTAGCAGCTGCCATTGCCTTTCTTTCTCTGGTTTCTTCTCTTCTTCTAACCTTAGGCGCCATTTTTGGAACAAGTTTTTCGCCCAATCTATCTTCCTCTTTTGCCAATCTTCTCATGCGAACACCGACTTGTGTCAATCTTGTGAGTCTCTGCTTGCACTTATGAATGAGGAAGTTAGGCCAGTACTTCAACTTGTCGTCGATTTGTACCAATGCGTTGGCATAGTTGGAAGATAGCTTTACGCGCTCCCATAACTTCGATGGCATGTGTGCTCTTTCAATAGTTTTCATGTAAAGGTAAAGTGTACCGGTTTGAGGATTTGCGCGAATAGTGGCATAACGGGAGTTTGCGAGGGGACATGATTGTCGATTACAGAGACCAGTAACATTGTATTCGTTGCGACAAAAAGTTTGATCCTTCGTAGTCCTGATATCATTAGTAGATGAAAAGAGCTATGGATACAATGGATCAACTTACTTGAGCTTGAAAGAGCAGAACTGTTGGTTAATAACCTGCCATACGATTTCGTCTGACGACATGGTGATTGAGGGTTTTGAGAAGTTGAAGTTATTTTGAGTTCTTGAAGATTAAAGTCTCTTTTGTGTTTCCTCACAGCACGAATATTTTCCATCAACTTTTTTTCGGGGCAAGACGAATTTTGCCAGCTAGAGCGGTGAGATAGTCACGTGTAGCTGTAAATAAATCCATCATAGCTTTTGTCCCTGCTCTGATTGGTCTTTGCGTCGGCAACAGATCGATTGACTAACATTACATGGGGTTCTTGAGGCTTTACCAAAGATTATTGCCAAACTTACAAAGCTCACCGGGAGCGTCTTTATTGTTGCTGAAATTCTGGAAATCCTTTACATGAATTCTCCTTTGTCCTATCAAAGCGAAGGATCTTAGATTGTCCCGAAGTTTTCCCAGCTCGGCTCGTTTACTTCTTCCACTCACTCACTCTTCACATCACCTCCAGGTTCATCTATCTCCTCCATTGAACAGCAAGAGACATCTCATAATCAACGCTATATATATACATCTATATTCTCAGGTAGAGATCCATTTCGAGAAGATTCGCACATTCATCACGTGTAGCAAACATAAAGATGACTTCAACATATCCAACTTATATCTACAAAATCATTCCTTCTGATGCGAAACCTGCTTCACCACTTCCAGAAGTCCTTCCAGTTTCTGATCTCGATAAGAGAGATGGATTCGTTCACTGCTCTACCTCGAAGCAACTGCTACGAACTTTGAATGCATTTTTCTCGTATGTTCTTGCACCGTCTTTTTCCCATTCTCACATTCTTTCTAGCGTATCTTGGTATCTCTTCTATTCCATTACACGTAGTTAATACTCAATTAGAAACGAATCCCACGTCTACATTCTCCGCATCAAGTATGAGCAAGTAGCTCCATACATCAAATGGGAGAATGCAGTGGGAAAGCAGCCCGAAGAATTAGGCGGATGTTGGGATACAGAGGGAAAAGCGGGATTCTTTCCTCACATCTATAATGGGTTGAAGGTTGGAAAAGAGGAAGTCGAAGATGTAGGAGAGTGGAGAAAAGGAAACGAGGGTTGGTCCGGTGAGGACTGGTGTTGGGGAGAGGTGGATCGCCCCATCTAATTATGGGATGAGGAAGACTACAATGTTAAAGGATAAGCTTGGAGATGAATAACTTCTTGCAATAGGTCACTCTCCCGACTATAATTCGCATTTGTGACATTGTGATTTGGGTGAGAAGCGGCGCAAGTTTCTTGATTCAGACGGATCCAATAATTGGCATCTCTAATATCTTAGGGAACAGTGGAACAGTGGAACGAAACCCAGTTTAGATCTGGCACTCTCACGATATCACCGTATTCTTTGACACTCGAAATCAATCACAGGTCGACTTCAAAGCATGATCCAATTCTCTTCTTTTACCTACTTTCTTCAAAAAGTGGTCTGTCGCGACCAGTAATTTTCTTCTTCAAAATGGTCTAATTTGGGAAAGCACATTTGTGAATTCGAGACTAGCAATGCCCAAGTGGCCTTCTTAATATTTGAAGCTCTCATTGTGGCGAATGTTAGATCAATCTCGTCGTTTCCTATTCCAATTCTGTAAGGAAAACCCGGCAGGCGCAATAGTTACCAAGCCATATTCATCCTAAAACTTTCAGCGAAGTCATTCCGCAACAAAACATCAAGCTTATTCCTTCTCTCAACTTGTTCCCAATTGAACTTCGCTGCGTTTATTTTTTGCCAAGACTAATAGCATATTGTATTGGCCCGCTAATCATTTCCAATCCGAAATATATCGTTCTTCAAATGGAAGTTGAGAGTAACTGCTTGTTGAAACCCAAGAGCATGTCGGAGGACAACGAAATTTCAACTACCACTGACAAGGATCTCACTGTGGCTGATGGAACTGTAGACGAGCAAGCAACGCTTGGAGAACTACATAATGTTGTTTCTCCGGAAGCACCTCCGTCGAATGATGGAACTGTAGATGAGCAAGCAACGCTTGGAGAGCTACATAATGTTGTTTCCCCGAAAGTGCCTCCGTCGAATGATGAAGAGATGCCGGATACCCCCGAATCGTCTTCTACAAATAATCCGCCAAATGAAGATTCTAGTCATGTCGATACCGAGAAAGTGAAACGTTATACATGTCCTTCTTGCAAAAAGACTTATGTAACCACTCGCGAAGCGATGTCACACATTGCCCCTATCGATATGGAACAAGAGGAGGTTCTCAAATGCCCTCATTGTGGAGTCCCCTCCATCAGAGAAACTTTAGAATTCACGGAGGAAATAATAGAAGCAAGACCCAAAAGAATCTACATACCAATGTCTAGGGGAGAGAAACGTTTTTTATGTCCGCATTGCAAGAGGACATTTAATACTACTTTGGAAACGATGTTGACCCTCATCCCTGAGATCACCGAGCAAGGAGAACTTCGTACATGCTTGTATTGTAAGAAGCCTTCGCTGAAAACTACTTTGGAAGTTAATCCTGATACGATGTACGTTTTCCCAATTTCATTCATCGCTTTAGAAACTTACAAAATCCTTGACCTATCAGCCTAGCCTGATACTCATCATAACCATAAGACTAATCATCATTATTTCTATAGGCTCCGCGAATATCCTCATTTTCCCATCCAAGCCGATAAAAACAGTTCCTCAAATAGTAATATTCAGCCTTCGCGTCAACCATCTTTCCCAGACCAGGCTTCGACTGGTACGCCATCATCACGAATTTTGGAAGGGATCATTCACACATCAGCTTCTCAAAATTCCCCTTATCAACAACAAACTTTCCAATCCAATCTCTATCAACAACAACCAGCTGTTTACCCTAACCCTAACCTGCAAACAACTTTGCAGATTACTCTGGATCAACGAACAGCTATCCAAAGGACCACTAATCGATTCCCGGATTTTCAAACTGCCTTTGATCAGCAATCAGCTTTCCATCCCAGTCTGAATCGACAATCAATTTCTCAATCGAGTTTCAATCAGCAATCAAGTTTCTCACCCACCCACCATCAACAATTAGCTTTCCAATCTAATCTCTCTCAACAGCCTATCGCACGACCTACCCTCGAACAACAACAACAACAACAACAGCTAGCTGTTCACTTTAATCCTAATCAACAATCAACTTTTGGCCCTAATACTGATCAACAACTGGCTTCCAACCCTTCTTCCCAACGCAATCTATCTGCATTGTACGTATGCAAATATTGTGACATAGGATTCTACACTTATAGGGATCTGTCATCACATAAAGCCCGAATTTGTGAATTTGAAGTTTGGTTTTTCTGTCCGGAACGAAATTGCGATTTTCACCGAGACAGAAATAAGGGGTTTTCGCGCTTACCAAACTGGCGAAGACATCTGCTAGAGCGACATTGCTATCCACATGATTCTAGGCTTTTGCAAACGTATAGAGGTGAAGTGAGAGATCAATATGGACTTACTAAATGGCGTTTTCGTTGATTGGTAGGTAGACTTTTCGGGAGCGCGAAATTCATGGGTTTGGTGTAGAGGGGAATTGGCCATTGCCAAGTCAGCGGAAAAACCACTCTTGAATTGTTCGAGGAGTATAGCTTCACTTCCTTCTTGAACTATTGGGGAATTATAGCTTCATTACTCTCCCACGTTCGGGACACAATATCCGAATTCCAAATATTCTTTCAATGTGCTCGTTTGGTAAAACTACTTTTGAATGATAGATTGACTGACTGACTGACTATCCACGCCAACGTACAGATTGGATTTGTATCCGAAGTGTCCAAGTTCACGATGAACATTTTTCAGTAAACTGCATGCATGATGCTGGCAAAGCTTCACGAATGAAGTTGTTCAACTTTTCACTATACTTTTTTTTCTCTCCAACTTCCCTTCTCTCTTCTCTCTCTTCTCTCCTAAAAAGACCATCTACACTGGGTCTCTTAAGGATCGCTATAATCTACATGATCATAAGATTATCCTGCTATCTACCCACTAGATAACATTGCATTCCTTCAATCATGCGCTTTCCATAACAATTCACAGAGAAATTTTTCTAAATTTATTAATATATTCAATTAATTCAATTAATTCAATACTCCTCATAATTAAAAATCAAAAATTCATATAAATAATAATAACTCACTACATACTACGAGTAATAATTTTCCCTTGAAAATATCTATATATACAAAGTTAGATCGTTATTAATAGCTAGCTAGGTATATATAGTATAATAGTATAGTATAACTAGTAGTACTCTTATATAATGAAATTTTTACTTTCTAAAAAGTTTATTTATTTACTCGAAGAAAAAAAAATGTGTAATCTAATATTTGTACTTTGTATTTTGTATATTATAGATGAAAGAATGTATATATATACTAGACATATTTATGATTAGAAGTAATCCCCCCTCGGTTAACTCTCGAGTCATAATAAATTAGAGGAAATGAATACATGCGTGAGAAAAATGCCGGATGACAAGGTCTAATTATCTGATATAGAAGGGGTTATATATATCTGGGCTCGTTTATCATGGTTCCCTCAAACATACTTACTACGATGAGGGTACACAATAATGATATCAACATCTTCTTCATATCATGCAACAGTCAAGTACCTATTCGCACATCACGTTACATCACATCACATCAATCACATCACATTCAAAAAAATGCATAAAATAGATATTTAATATTCTTTTTCATTTTCTCATTTCCATTTCCCATTCCTCACACACTACTCTCTCACTAAACCTTCTCCCCGCACCCCCTACCAAGCTCATGAAACTGCTCTTTCCCTCCCTTCATACGTATACGTGTATTTCATCTCCTCATCACATCCATCACGAATCATTACTGAAATCGAATCAACCTTCTTCTTGTCACCAAGATCCACTGACAATCTCCCTTCCCCCACACAATCTCCATCTGATCTCCTCCCCACATGTCTTCGTCCCCTCCTTTCACCAATGCATTCTCCTCCACAGTCTCCTTAACCCCCCGTTCCAATCCAATTCCCAAAGAAAGGAAACCCAAACTAGAAACCAACCAGTCGAAAGGAAAGGTAAAAAAACGGTAGAAAAACAAAGATAACCTAATCCTTAAAACAAAACAATAAGTTTGTTGCCTTCGCATGCCAAAAGAAAAAACTAGCTAAGACTACTCAAACCAGAAATCTTACAAACGCAGTTGTGAAAACGCAAATGAGACAAAAAAGTCAAGAATTATGCTCCCACTGCCCCCACCCTAACCATGAACCCGCTCGCTTCCATATCAAGAGATGACGTATAAAACAAAAATGGTGCATTTGTCTGTCAAAATTATTGACAAAACTTTTTATCTACTTCTAGCCGAATTCGCACGAGAAGAAACAATATTTTGCCGAAATAGAATGCAGGCCGCCCGGGCAGAAAGTAATACAAGAAAAGGAAAACCCCTTTGAGTTGTTGTGAAGGCAACGTGAACCGACGGAGTAAGCGCTAAAAGAGATCAAAAGATGGTACTCTTAACTCTCGAATGTGATCGGCCCTTGCCCGAAGCTCCGGAAGCTTTCCTCATTATGTGTTCTTCCCGCTTGAGGACCATCTCACACCAACCACCTTTACCACCTGCACGTTCTTTTCCTACACAAGGATCGAGAACGGACATCCATGCTTCTTTATCGGCTGGTGAGTCTGCATAGAAGTCAATGACTTCACCATTGTTGAATCGAATACGGAAACCTTCTTCAACAAACATGTAACCTTCCTCATCTTCAGCGAAACCAGACTTGCGACGTTTACCAGATTTGGCAGTAGTTTCCTTTTGTGTTAGTGCTCTTCGATCATCAATCAGTCTATTGGCGTTTGCAAGATTGATAGTGACACGAGGTTGCCTGGTTGACTCGTGGTAAGCTGTGAGTTTGCTTCCAGATAATCTGAAGAAACGACGACGCCAGAACTTGTAATGTGTTAGTGATAATCAGATTATGTGGGTATATAAAAACTTACAGGACAGTCACCACCTTGTTGACTCAGGTGGCCCTCAAATTGTCTAGCAACCTCAAGTTCGGCTTCCTTCATCTCGCGGATGCAAGCATTCATACTCTTAGGCATGTCATCATCACCTGCACCCTTTGGTTTTGGCACGAAAAGGAGCTGTAGTTGTAACTTTCCAATGGTATAGGGAGCGCGCTTTCGAACTGGAGGAGGAACGCTACGTTTGCTCATGACACTCGACGATTGACTGACCTCTTCGGTAGCCCATTCGTTGAAAGCAGCCACATCGACATTATAAGGTCTTCCGAAGCAGCGAGTCTCATGATCCTTCAAACAAACATAAGATCGACCAAAGCTACCATCTGCGGCAGCAAGCGGCGAGAGGAGATCCCACGCAGTTGGCTGCGACGATTTCTTCAATGCTTGAGCATCTTGTTGTTTCTGTTGTGCAATGCGTTGTTCTTCTTCCTTTTGCCTCATCTCAAGTTCCTTTCTCTTCTTTGGTGAAGCAAATACTCTACTGAAAGTCGAAGGTTTTGATGGTTTTGATGCCTTGATTGGAGAAGTTTGGGCGCGCTTTGGTGGTGGCGGCTTCTCAAGTTTTGCATTCAGTGTTAGTTGGAACTCAAGCTCATTTGGCACAACAAGTTCGAATTCTTGTCCGATAGGAGCATTCCGTCCCAACTCTAACCATGCGGTGGTAACACAGTGCACACCATTGTCTAAAGTCAGGCTAAACCACGATCGTTCATCTGTTCTCATGTTAGTATATCAAAAGGTAATGATCGAGTGAAGACCTACTTTTGGGTAAGGGGAGGTCCAAGTCCTTCACTCCGATGACTTTCACAAACAACCTCCCTCGCTCACTACCTTCATCAGATGCAGGTTCGGCAACTTGACCTTCTGTTACGATACCTAAGCCAGTGGCATTACTTTCATGGCCCGGCATTGGAGGGACTGGACCAGTTGGAGGCTTCTTGCGTGGACTGGAAGGTCGAGCGCTGCTTCTGCGAGAACCATTCCATGGTTCAACGACCCAAGACTGTGGTCGGTTATCTGGTTTGGTGGGTGAGTTTCCGACTGATTTGGTATTCCGTGGTTCTCTTTCATCGCTGCTAGCAACAACTACTTTGGTATTTTGTCGCATCAAATATCCTCGCTGTCGTGGACTGCTGTTAGCATGATCATTCTTTTCGGTTAGGTTACACAATTCGGACGCTTGTCCAAGTCCACCAGTAAGGAAGGTCGGGTGAGTAGAAGTTAAATCAGATGCTACCTTTGAAGATTCAATGACCCGGTCGAAATCTGACTCCAAGTTAAGACCAAGGTCACCGCCGATATCCAGTGTGAGACTTCGCTTTTTAAAGCTGGGAGCTCGCTGTATAGTACCCCTCTCCGCATCATCATTATCATCATCGTTATCATTATCCTCATCCTCGGGGTCTTGCTCTCCATTTAATGAAGGGCGATTGCGGTGTCGTTGAGGGATTGGGGGAACAACAGGACCAGCACCACTGACTTGACGTCGAGCTTCACGCATGGCTGCTAGATCAGAAGGCGTAACGGATGGCCTTGTCTTGAGTTTGGATCCGCTTCGGGCTTTGATAGTAGCTACTGTTTCGGGAATGCCAGGAGAATCTGAGGGTGGTGGTGGTGTAGGAGAGATCTTAGGAGGGTTAACGAATGGGTGTTGGAATGGCTGATCGATCGACGATCTAAATGGTTGATCCAAAGATGCCCTGAATGGATGATCAATTGGCTCATCAACTGGATGATGAATCACCGAATCTGACTCTGACATTTCCTCCTCGTCATCGTCTTCTTGTGGTCCCCATTCGGATCCATCATATTCTGGACGTGAAACCATTTTCTTGAGTGGCGACATGGGAGCAGCTTCCTCTTGAGGCTCGGGAATCATCTGCTGTGGCTCGGGAACAATCTGCCGTGGCTCTGGAGTATCATCCTCGGTCTCCGCCTCGGTCTCTCCCTCAGTCTCTGTTTCTGTCTCTGGTTCGGTTTCCGCCACACTTTCTTTACGCTCATTGATTGGTGCCTGGTGCACAACGTCATCGTCCACCTCTGGTGTTTTGGATCCTTGCGAGGGTTCATATGCCTCTGACATCTGAGAGACCTTTCTCTCCTTTTCGTTTTGAGGTTCAGGGGATGGTGTCATGTAAGATCTCAGACTCAGACTCAAGTCTGTGTTATCGGCGAGAAGTCCTGAAAACTCTGGGAGGGATATTCTTCTGTTCTCCTTTGCCGGATCCGATGAGATACTAGAAGGGCTGATGTTTCTAGGAGTTGGTGGACCATCCTCTTCTGGAACGCTATTCGATTGGAATTGTGGGCTTTCATGAAGTGGCATTTCGGATGATGTTTCATCGGAATAATGGCTCTCCAATTCAGAATCATCCACCGTCCCAGCTTCACTCTCAGTCTGATGACTCTTCATTCCGGATTCGGTACGTTGATACATGTCAGGGAGATTGTACATGTCAACTCCTTC